GGGTCATCGAAGCGACCGAAATGAATCTGTCTGGTGGAAGACAGGAGGGCCTGGCGAGTCGGACACACGACTTAACGACTAAACAACAAATATGTTTTAGGACAAATCCCAAGGTCTTTTATTAGACCACTGTGAAATTGCCCAGGTTGAAATGGAAGAATTTTTTAAAAGGAGGGGAGTGATAAGGTCAGAGGGTAAGATATTTTGAGCTTTCTTAAAAATATTGGGATGGAGGAAAATGGAAGGTAGAGGAAGAAGCCACTGGGAGGAAGGGACATGTCACGCATTTCCACTAGCTTTCCAGAGGACCTGGACTCTGTTGTAACCCATACATGATAAAAGAGAGACAGGCTGTCAGCGTCCGGCAGAGAAAGACCATAAGATGACCTTCACACATAGATAACACAAAAGGGGGGGGGAGACAGCTGTGGAGATGAGGAGGCAAAGAGGAATGCAGAGAATTCAGAGGTCCGGAGGTATTGGGGAGACCCGTTGAGAAAGGGGTGAATTACAAGGAAGCAGCAGAGGGAAAGATCCAAATTTAGTACTAATTTTAACCAGTCATATTTCTTTTGATGGCTCTTTGTTAGAAATTTATAAATGAGTCTCGTTAACTGTCCTCGGGGGGCCTTCCTCACCTTGAGAGAATTCCCCGTCTGATTTCTCATTCTCAATAAAATGGGGTCGTATCTCAGCCGTCTCCTCCCTGTCTAGCCTTCTGCTCGGTTTCGAACTCAGAACTTTGAAAATAATTCTTAAAGCTCAGGTAACGCAGGTGGACAGGAATATGTTCTGAAACCAGGTTCTGTGTGCTGTGCTTCCATTTATGCTGTTACTCAAAAGTAACTCATTACAGTACTAGCAAGCCCTTCCTGTTTGTTGGCCGTTCTGTGTGTTTGTCTTCTGAGTCATCCTGTGTGACAATCTTCAAAACATCTGGCTATTTGGGGGAGGTCAACATGGTTTTGTTGCAACATTTAGCTTCTCAGAGACAAACCAACCCACATTCGATTTCAGTTTCCTTTCTGTTTGCTAGAAGCTGCTCCTTAAACCCAAACAAGAAGTGCAAAGTAGTTTCCTTTGGGGCTGAAATGAAGCCATTCATGTGGAATCAGGGCGCTATTATCTTCCAGGGAGCTCCATCAAGGCAATATTGATGGCTCTCCTCCTCCTCCTGCCTTTATCCTCACAACAGCCCTATGAGGTAGTAGTAGGTCATTCAAAAGGAAAGGGTTGGGGGGAGATCTTAAGAATCCTGTTTCTGGTAGTCAATGTCAGCTAAAGTTTCCTCACACCAAACTTTATGGCTATAAGGTTGTTCTATGCTTCACTACCTGTTCTTACTCAATAGCTTCTCACTGTCCACATCGCACTCCTGTCCCATATGTTCATATCCCTTGGCAACCCGGATGGCCTCGGGCATCCTGTTACTATTAGAGGTTTGTAGAAACCGTGTGCTTGTGGGAGTTTTCTTTGCAACCTCGCATGCAGTCTGCAGTTTGTGGGACTGGGAGGGACTTTTTCTGGGCTGGGGTGACTGTCTGTCTATCCACCGCTAACCAATCATTCCTTCTTGCCTTTGAGTTCAAAGAGGGCCCCGCCGTTCTGCTGTTATTTCCGCCCCTCCCTCTTTCTCCAGTTGATGTTTCTTTGCTGTTGATCTGTTCAGTTGGTTTTGTTGTGCAACGTGCACAAGTCTGTAAATTAAAGCAACTGTAAGTAAAGAAATGTTTTTAGTCTTTCTCCTACAAATGTCTCAGAGGGAGTTACTGCAACCCTGCCTGACATGTTTTTGTTTCTTTTGTTTGTTTATAAATGTCTCGTGTTCTGTGTTCTGTTTGCAAATTATGTATTATGGAGTTTGTGTGTTATTGTTTACTTGTTTTATTTAATATGCGATTGCTGTGTTTTTATCCTGCTGCAAACAACCCAGAATACCACATGGCACTAATGGGGCAGTATGAATATGAATTTCAGAAAAAAGTAAAATAAATAAATAAATGAGAAAGGGGTGGACTGTCTGGGAACTTGAAGCTATTTTCCTCTGTGGATCTCCGTACTTGTACTGCACAAGAAAAGCAATTTTACCAGACATTCAAAACTCTGCAACGGTGTGTGCACATTTTGGCATAGTGTCAAAGTGCATGGGAGAATTAAGGGGGTGCTATCACATGCTGCCCATGGCAGTCACCCTCCCCCTGCTCTCTGCCTGTCTGGAATGGGTCCGCAAGAGCCACCAGCAGACGCCCGTGTCCCTGCGCTGAGCGCATCCTTGCAAGGCAGCCACCCTGATCACACCAGTCTCCCTCCTAACGTGGTGTTGTAAAACCCCACGCCATCTAATCCCAGGTGCAAGGGGGTGGCCACACTGTTTCGGCAGAGGCTGGACTAGCCTGCAGGGCGTCGGGGCTCACCCGCCCACATATTTCATCCAGATTTGTGTGGGATGTGCGACACCGATGCCCCATGGAAATTGTGCGTGCATCACACAGCCCCTAGAACAATATGCTTTGCCAGATATCCAGGCATGCTTTAACTGCACCCTGTAATGAAAGTTGGGGAGGAAAATGCAACCCACAGGTGGGCCTTGAGGGGTTAAAATGCACCCCCTGGTTCCACTCCCCTCCCATCATCTCCCTAGCAAGTCATTCTGGGATTGGGAAGAGAGGCCTCCGGGTCCTCTGGAGTGAGAAGCAAACCCCTGGCCAAATTGTCCCCTGCGTGCATTCCATGATCTTAAAACGTTAGAAGAATGTTTTAAGTGGTGAGGGGGGGGATCATCTGCAGGTCCAGGAAGGGGCATTGGGGGGCTCCAGTCCTCTGAAGGATGATCACCCCATCTTTCAAGCTGTGTCTTCACCAGTGTGTTTGGTGGTGACACGAGAGGAGGGCATCTCTGTGGCTGCTCCCAGACTCTTGAACTCCCTCCCACTGGAGGCCAGGCAGGCCCCATCTTTGCTGTTCTTCTGTAACCTTTCTCTTCCTAAATCCAGAAAAAAGTATTTCCACATGTGTTACCAGAACCCACCACTAGAGGGAGGCAGAGACCATACTATTCATTCTTCAACAACAAAAATGCATAGCATGACCTCTGGCTCCCTCTAGTGAGAGGAAATATATATTTCCACAATATATATTGTGGAAATATATATTTCCTCTCACTAGAGGGAGCCAGAGGTCATGCTATGCATTTTTGTTGTTGAAGAATGAATAGTATGGTCTCTGCCTCCCTCTAGTGGTGGGTTCTGGTAACACATGTGGAAATACTTTTTTCTGGATTTAGGAAGAGAAAGGTTACAGAAGAACAGCAAAGATGGGGCCTGCCTGGCCTCCAGTGGGAGGGAGTTCAAGAGTCTGGGAGCAGCCACAGAGATGCCCTCCTCTCGTGTCACCACCAAACACACTGGTGAAGACACAGCTTGAAAGATGGGGTGATCATCCTTCAGAGGACTGGAGCCCCCCAATGCCCCTTCCTGGACCTGCA